AGCCAGCTAATGTGGGTGTTGCAGCACAGCAAGTCCAAGTAAAGAACAGTCAAGCAGTCATTGCTTCATCAGGTGCGGGCGACAGGCTGCTAGCCAAGGGCCTGCTTGGGCAGCTGCTGGCAGGCTGAAAGTTAATTCTGGGAGTTTGAGGCTTGACAAAACCGTACGCTACGATATGCCACCTTGCGTGCTTGAGGGCAACTATTTGTGCTGGTTCCCATTTGATGTGCGAGTTCTCGCTGGGTGTCTCTGTCCATTCGCCTCACTCATTTCATGAACAAGCACCGTTCCTGCGTAGTGTTACATCAATCATGGGGGGTATCTGGCAGAGTGACGGTTGCCTGGCCAACTCGGCTCAACCAGCCAACTCGGACCTGACAAAGTGACGGATTTTCCTGGCCAACTTGGTTCAACAAGCCAACTCGGATCTGGCAGAGTGACGGGGTTTCCAGAAACCCAGTCACAAAACCCCAGCCAAATGGGTTCAACCAGCCAACTTGCGTGCCTCAGAACAGATCACAACTCCTGACCCCTCAGTCCAAGTGAAATCGTGACTGGGTTTCCAGAAACCCAGTCACAATTTAGCCTTGAACTTGAACACCCATCACACATCTGATGGTGGACAGAGTGCAGCAGGTGCGACTGGTTCGCCACAAAGGCCACAATTTGTGACTGGGTTTCTGGAAACCCAGTCACGATTTCACTTGGACTGAGGGGTCAGGAGTTGTGATCTGTTCTGAGGCACGCAAGTTGGCTGGTTGAACGCATTTGGCTGGGGTTTTGTGACTGGGTTTCTGGAAACCCCGTCACTTTGCCAGATCCGAGTTGGCTTGTTGAACCAAGTAGGAAAGCCCGTCACACTGACAGATCCGAGTTGGCTGATTGAGCCTGGCCAGGAAAATCCGTCACTTTGTCAGGTCCGAGTTGGCTGGTTGAGCCAAGTTGGCCAGGAAAATATGTTACTCTTCAAGATCCAAGTTGGCTGGTTGAGCCAATTGTGGTAGCCCCGTTCATCAATGCAACACTACGCAGAAAACGGCGTCTGTTTTCATGAAATGAATGAGGCGAATGGACAGAGACACCCAGCGAGAACTCGCACATCAAATGGGAACCAGCACAAATAGTTGCCCTCAAGCATGCAACGTAGCATATCGCAGCGTACGGTTTTAGCAAACCTCAAACTCCCAGAATTAACTTTCAGCCTGCCAGCAGCTGCCCAAGCAGGCCCTTGGCTAGCAGCCTGTTGCCCGCACCTGATGAAGCAATGACTGCTTGACTGTTCTTTACTTGGACTTGCTGTGCTGCAACACCCAAATTAGCTGGCTGCACGGTGGTGATCAGTGCGAGAGTATGGAACAGGTACCCTCAAGAAGCCTCGCCTTGATTACGTGATAATGCTGCTACAGGCTACAGCACGGCTTGCGCGAGGGTTTTTCATTTGGAGCCTGGCATGACTTATGCGGGGCGGGCTCTTGCACACGTGCGCCTGCGCAACAAACAACACAAGGTTGAAAGCTTAGCCTGATTGGCTTGGGACACCGCGTTGAGCCATTTATGATTGAGCCGGCACTGTTCTGGGGCCTCGGTCGCGCTGGCATTTTCAAAAAACATGAATGTTGACCCGAGTGCGACCCCGAAACCATGCCCCACAAGTGATAAACGACAGCACGCATGAAAGCAAGATGTAAGGGCTATTAGAGGACCCCTATGTTTAAGGGTTTTGGTCGCACACATGTTCTTACAATCTTACGGAAGGTCTCCCACCTTCCAAGGCCTTGAGAGTATGCAAGGCTGCAACTTCCATTCACATATAAATCATAGTTAGCTTCAGGCTGAATCCACTTTCAAAGTTACTGACTTGGAACACTCTTTCCAGGGAATGTAAGGTGGGTTTCTACTTCAGTCATAGTTGGGAGGGCTCAGGGGGCTGGTTGGTAGATATTGGGGTGCTTGCATTGGGAGACATTTTTTGTCACTAAGAGGAGGTCCTGCAAGCTTGCTGGTGGGCCCTTTGCGAAGGCCGCAAGCGGCACTTCCTGCTCCAAAGGAACTGTAGAAAAGGAAGAGGAACCGCAATTTAAGCAGCCATAGAATGCAAATGTTTTTGCAGCAAAGGAAAGGCCCTTCTGTAATGCTAGCATGTGTGGCCTTGCGCGAGCTTGTTCAACGCTGGCAGCGGGGGTGTACTTCAAGGCGTCCTTCCTGTTGTCAGTCGCACGGCGCCAAAAACAATTCCTGAAACTGACTACTTGTGCAAGACCGCAGCAATGCCCGGAAGAAAGCTAAATTGCAAGGCCCCAAGCTGCAGAAGGGACAATTTCAGCTTGCAGGGGTGGCAGATTCAGGCCTGTCAAGTAGCTGACGATATTGGATACCGTGTTGCCAGGAAGAGGGTGATGCGGTGTATGGTTGTGTCAACAAAAGCTGCACAGCGGCAAGGCACAGCACCAGCATAAAAGCACCAGCTAACAAAACACCCAGTTATGAAATGGAAAACACCCAGTTCACTCTGGACATGCCTCAGGGAAATCCATCTATTTCCCCGAAAAGGACACCTATGCTGCTTCCAACGTGTCCCTTCAAAACAGCCAAACAGGCGACCGACTCAAAAAAAAACGCACCAATTCAAAGACTTGGGCAAGATCCCGTGTTTTCTGACTCTCGCAACAAGACCCGTCTCCTGCCCTATTGGAGTAACGAGTGGAAGGATTCGAGAGCTATGTGAAGGATTCCTCAACGGACTTTTGAAGGCTTCGAATGTTTGAGGTGAACTGCCGCTCTCAAGAATTGCGTTTCGCCTCGAAAGCCGAAAAGCCGATCCGTACGGTTCTAGCCTTCATGAACTCGAGTTCCGGGACAGCGGGACTCGAACTGATTTGCCACTTTTTGGGTGTCCAGTTTAGTGGTATGTAAATATAGCTAAAGAAGTCCGCATGGCAGGTTCTTCTTGTCCGATCCACAGTAATTGTCTAAGTTTGCTGAGGAGTATGCTTCACAGAAAGGAAGCATTCACGAACGACCCGTGTGGCATCTGCTCAAAAACCGTCCAAGTGTTACTGTGAATGTAAGGAAATGGGCCATTAAAGGCCCACTTGATAGCTTGATATCTAGGGAATCCCCCAGGAATCCCCTCTGAATTGATAGCGTCATGGGAATTAATCACCTTGGTATCACATGACTTGTGCAATACCAAGCTTTTGAGCTTCCGTTGTTGTCTTCGTTTAGTGTGCTGGAACAAAAAACAACATGTGAGCTTTAAACACCCTGGGACGCGAACGAGGGAAAGGGTGATTTCCGACCACTATGTTAGTCGCGGCTCTCCCATTCACTTCCGGGATCTGCGTGCTCTGCCACTCATGCTTAGATGGTCTGGGACTCAGCTAAATGTCTTGTAACCCTGGTTACGGGGGACTTGCCACCATGGTACCAGCTTAAGTGGGTTACAACCAGGGCAAAGCGAATCGCCATTTAGCGATTCCCCCCATCTAAGTGGAGGCTGAGCATGGGAAATCCACCCGATTCGCGCGTCGTCCGAAAGGCCGCGGTGCGACTGCTCATGTGGCGGTGCTTCCTGCTCACGCTGCTGGGCGCTGGGGTGTTGGCAGCCGGTGCTCTGGCGAACTTGTGGGTCTTTGGGAGGAGGGGGGGGCGGTGGAGACAAGGACTTCAGTCATCTTCAGTCACTTTTGGGTTTGGACCATTCTGGTGGCGAACAAAAAGCGCGGTTCATTTTTTGGGGCCAAGCCACTCGATCGGAAGTGAGACGAACACAAGTCATATGGTGATAGCCACGGATCACTTCATCGAGACTGGGTTCCCTCTAGGGGTGTTGGTACATAAGCTTTCTACACACCCCTTGGTTTTCCATATTCCCCCAAAAGGCATGCTGAGGTTCATTCCCCTCTCCCACCTTTTGCTGCCTTTGGCGATCAAGTGGGGGGAGTCCAAGGATCCAGAAAGCCCCTCTTGAGGCCCGCGCTATACCCGAAGTCGAGTGAGGCTAGGGGTGTCAGAACGAAGCAACGAAGAATCCACGGTCGAAACGATGGAGGTTCGTCTGCTGGATCCGCTTCTCTTCGCTGCCAGGTTGTTCGGTTTTTTGGCGTTGCTTATTTTTAGTCGGGGGCTGCAAGAACCATAGTTTATGTTGTTGCCATACCGAGGTATGGTGGATCCGTATTGAAATTGCCCCTTGAAAGGTGCCTACATAGCTGTTGGCCGGGTAACTCTCCATTTCTCCCAGGATTCTTCTGACCTTTCCGGAACACCCCATCCCAGGGGAATCGGCTGATGATTGAACATGGTTAAATCAGAATGGGGAACCAACCCCTAGAGTGCAGATGAGACTCAAGGATAGTTTCTGGGGGTTCACTTCGGTGTGTGAATCCAAACCCTGATGTTGTCCCCAAGCTTCGAGGTGTGTCGCAGTGCTTCCGATCCTGCTTTCCAAACACTTGCACCTGGAACACCACGCAATTTCCGGCTATCTCTCCGAAAAGGATGAGTGAGACCCGAGCGGAATTGATAGGCTTAGCGGCTAAGCCAGTGTCATACTTCTGATTTGGGGACAACTTCCATAGTTGGGATCATCCAGAGCCGCCTAAAGGCCACCTGGCCACGTGTCAAAAACAAAACGGGGGCCCAAGAAAGAATGGCCTTGCCTTGGTGAAAAGCAAACGGCGCCCTCAAAAATGAAACCAAACAAAACAAACATACAAACAGCACATACATGCCAACAAGCAAACAAACAAACAACCAAGCAAGCAAGCAAACAAACAAAACAACAAGCAACCAAGCAAGCAAGCAAACAAACAAAACAACAAGCAAGCAAGCAGGCAGGCAGGCAGGCAAGCAAGCAAGCAAGCAAGCAAGCAAACAAACAAACAAACAAACAAACAGACACACACACACACAATCAACACACACACACAAACACATGCACTCTCACACATGTGCAGACCTCCGAGGTGCTGGGCTGCTATGGCAGGAGTTCTTGTGGCATGGCGTCGACCGCTGCTCGACTTCGGAGAATCGGTCGATCTCTCGGTTCCCAGCTCTGCAAAACTTGATGGCTCAACCAGCCATCCGGTTCAACTTGTGACTTTGAGTTGCTTTTATTCCAGGCGATGGGCGCCGGGTCTCTAAGAGGGGCGCAGTGGGAGCAGGTGGGTGGGGGTTCGCCTGAGTCACAATTAAAACCCGGGTAATTGGAGGGAAGTAAGGACAATCCCAGCCATAAATGGTTGCCGGTATCCGCCTTTTCATTTGTTTACATGGTTCTGGGTTCACCATGTTTGTACCAGGTTTTGATTATGTCTCAACAGAATTACCCACAAGTTAGTCACGCTTAGCAGGGGATCAGTTTGGACAGCCCAGTTTTGACCTCATTCCCTGCCTATCGAACCAGCAAGCAAAGGGGTCCCTTGGCACCTCCCTAGGTACCGGAAAAAAAAAAAAAAAAACACTGGGAGCGAATTAGTTGAGGTTTAAAGTTGGATGAGCTTCTAACCATCATGGGTTTCCAAAGCTGATAGGCTTTTTCAGGCTTTACGAGTCGAACAGTTGCAGGGCCGTGTTTGCTTTCCATACCAAAAAAAAACGAGCGACTGGTTTAAGACCCCACTTAGACTTGGCAGCGGCCATAGTAGAGAGTTTCGCCCATAGCACATACTGTACTGTGGATGGATTCTCGCACCGCGAAATGAAACCATGGGCAAAATCAGAAGGTTTGTTTGCATTTGCAAGGGAATCGATTCATTCCAGGGTTTCGAAAGGCGGTGCAGGATTTCGCCCATCCACAGTGTGGAACCTCCCAAATGCTTGAATGTTGGATTTCCCTTGAAAAACGACACCAACAATGGATATTGAGCCTTGGTTGGAGCATTGCCCAATTTTTGGTAGTGAGCTCCGTTCAATTTTTAGTCATAGTTTCTTTCTCTTCTTCTTCGTGCTTCTTCGCTTCGGAAGTTCCAGCCGTTTTGCGGGCCACAGGCCAGGCAGGGGCTGCAAACTATCGGCTCGACTCGCGGCGCTGGGCTGAGGCTTCTTCCAGGTGCCGGAGGCTTCGATGGAGCCCCCGACGCCCCCGATGGATGCCCGCGGCCTGCCAGCGCTGCGCACGCTCGACGACGAGGAGCCGGAGGCTGCCGGGCCCCTGGAGGAGGATGAGAATGAACTTGAGCCGGAACAGGACGGGTAAAAAACGTGCCGTGGGTTTTCTTGGCTTGGGGGTCGGGTTTGCTTGGGGTGTGGTTTTTCTTGGAGGTTGGGGGTTGGGGGGGTTGCTTGGGGCATGGTTTTTCTTGGCTGGTGCGATAGGCATGGAATGAGACTTATAAACCATCCAACTGGTGGTGTCCATTAAGGGGACCCCTGGGTTCATTCATTCCCACATTCCCTGCTGAGCACCAAGTTTTTTCTTGGCTTGGGGTTAGGGGGGTTACTTGGCGTTGGGGGGGGGGATTGTCACATCATCCCGTTGAAAGGGACCTGAGGAGTCTTTTAAGGAGCAGTTGCCACATTGCTTGGCATGCAACTGCCATGGTTTGGATTGGTGCCTTGGAAATTTTAAAAAGACCTCCCAACCTCCAGGCTCCAAATCAACCACTGGGACACCTGGGGGGGGGATTCAAGGTGCCACAGATCTTCGCAGATTCTACTCGAAGCCTTCGGCCGCTGAAACCGGCCAAGAGGCTTGAAGCGGGGCTTGGAGCATCCCATGCGCCAAGAGGCGTTGCTTTGCTTGCCCGCGTCCGGGGTTTTGGCCTATATCGCCATGAAAGGGCGGCTTCTACTCGGTTTGCCATGAGTGAGGTAGTTTCCTGTTGATGTTTCGAGGGAATCTCGTTACCTGGACTCGGTCGACGGAGGTGAAGCATGGCCGGATCACGACGCACCTCCACTTTAAGCCATTGATTTGCAACTGAAGGGGTGAGTAGTCCATGAAAATACCCCCGAAAGGTGACTCGCAGCGGTACTCAAATGAATGATCTGGGAGTTTGTGTTCTTTGAGGCTACCTTTTTGTTGGGTTGGTTCAAAAGGAAACCAAGCAGATCAAGCAACACTACCCATGTTGGAGGTCCAGGTCCTCCGTTTTGACACATGCCGGCACCCATCTGCAACCAGAGTCAAAGTCACCGAGCGCCCTCCCCTTTTGGCGTGTCTGATTTGGGCACACCCCCCCCGCAAAAGAAAAACAAAAAAAAGAAAGAAAGTAAAGAAAGCCACCACAAAAAGGGTACCCTCAAAAAGGCCCGCCCTACTTAGAGTCACCCTCAACTCAACCAAGTGGACAGGCCAGCTCAGTAGCAATCAAAACCACGAGGAAAATTAGTAGCCCAGAGGGTCCGACGCCGAACTGGACCTGGAGCAAGTTGGAGTGATCAAGTGGGGGTCGTAGGATCGATTCCAGAAAGCTAGGTAGGTGCCCTTTCTCACCACCTTTTCTTTGGGGGAGGGTTCCCCTACTAAAATAGACTGCAGAAAAAACGGGTACCCTTATTCTAACCTCTCTACTGGAGGACCTAGATGATGAATTGGGGATCCTCATCTCTCCGGTTTCACATGGTTTTACCATTTGGATGGTTGACCTGGGGGGTTGATCAAAAGGGTCCTTTACATGGAATGACCATTAGGCGAAAACCACGAAAAAGATCACTGTCCCAGTTGGGAAAAGCCATGGCTTGGGGACCTAACGGAATACTGATCAACACCCACGTTTCTTGGGGGTTGTACTCCCTCTGGTTGGCCTTTCAGTCGGAAAGGAAACCATTTGTTTGGAGGCTTTCGGAAACCACCTGAAGTTATCCTTCCATTTGCTGACATAAATATGTGTATTTCCCTTTTTGGTTTTAAAGGGAATCTATCATCCTAAAAATTGGAAATAAAGGACACGTAATAAATAAATATTTAAGTAAATATAAATACATAAATGAATACTATCATAATCACATGTTTTTCACGCTATCAAGTTTTTCTTTTTGTTTAAAGGGAATCGATTTCACTGCTGGAGATATGCTTGTTGTTTCCAGGGGGCTTAAGCACATGATCCGTCGAGTACTCGGACCCGGAAGCCTTTGGCTCCGATGCATCGCCAGGAGCTCGGCCCGAGCCCTGAGGCGCGCCGAGCGACCGACTTGGACGGAGAGGTGGGCGTGGCTCAAAATCAAACAGGAGGGGCAGACCGCAGGTGTTGGTCCATGTTTCCACTTACCAGGGTTCCGTTTTGGGTACCGGTTGTTTGAGCCACAGCCAGGTGTGTTTTCCTTTCCTGAAAAAAAACACACACAACTTGTATATTTTAATACAACCATTCAGGGTTGGGTTTGTCTGGAAACTCAACAGGTTGACTGATTCTTTCGGGGTTGTCAAAGTGAGCTGGGGATTTGTTCCTTCAACCTACACGGGGGTGGTTCTTCATGAACGAGGTGGATGACTAGGGTTCCAACCAAATAGTGGATGGCTTCCAACTCTAAATTGGGACACATCGGTTGCTATGAAACTTTGTCCATGCCAGGACTGAACAGAAGGTACTACTTACCCAATTCCTTCCAAAGGGCCAGCGCCCAAACCCCCCCCCCCCCCGCCAGGGCCTTTTTAGCAGGTGGTTCTACTAGCAGGTAGAATGGTGTTGTAGAAAGGCCAATATTATGGGGTTGTCTCAAGAATAAGGAAACCCTTTTGCATGGGATGGGTTCCTTTTGGTTTCGTTTTCAAGGCCCAAACACGTTGCCCTCAAAGATGACACGCCCCTGCCTCACTTCCTGAGTTCCCGGACTGTTTTGTTTGGTGGACAACAAAATGAACTTGTTTGCTCAATCCACGGATCGGAGAGCTCATTAGCTGCAAAACGTGGATTGCTCATGAAACCACTCGCTTTTTTCCACCATCCACTTGTTTGCTCAATTTTTAGCTCGTGAGCTGTACAGCCTTGTTTGATTGGTGGAGAAAAAACAACATGACCTTTTTTTTGCCCGGGCTTTATGTTTTAGTGGATACTCCGCTCCATTGGAAGTGAGCTGTAGAAACCTTTAACACGTCGGACTCAGCGGGGTGACTCTACGGGGTGTTCTCAGGAGCTCGATGAGGTGAACGACAGCCAGGCGAGCATGGGAGCGGTCGGGGTGTTTTGACTTGGTGGTTCCCAGCCATCCCCTTAGCTTTTTTGCCTTTGAGTGTTTAGTGGTAGTTTCCATTTAACCCACTAAGGGTTAAACGTTTTGCGGGGGATCTGGAGGACAGCCCAGTTAACAGGGCTCCTCAAAAGATACATTTTTGCAACCATTTGAAACATGTGGCTTTTTCAACACCAACATAAAGTTGGAATCCACCATTTACAAGGCAATGTTCATGTTGTAGATTGATACATCATACTGTGCTTTCTACTCAAATCACCGTTTTTGAAGGTCCAAAAAGAGGAAATGGAGGTACACAAAAAAAAATGGTTACTTTTTTGGGGCCAGCCGCCTCGGGAAGTGGGTAGGGAGACCACTGAAGTTGCTTCCTTTCAAGCAACCCCAGAGATGGCTACCCAAAACTGGGGATTGACTGGTACTCCAAAAGGGGGAAGCCTACGAAGCCTGTAGGAAGCCTTATGTCAGTAGCCTGCCTAAGTCCCAAGTACTAGAAGCTTCTAAAAAGAAAAACCGGTTCCCTTTTCGTGCCGTTTGTGTAAGATCGTACGGAATGAAACCATAACGTTTGTTGGTATCTACGTTGGGGAATCGACTCATTCTAGGGTTTCTTGGGTGATGCAGGATCTCGGCCATCCACAGTAGGGGCTGAGCGGGTTGCTAAAAGGTCTGATTCCTGGAATGGTCTGATTCTCCTCTAACCAACCAACGATGGTTTCAACCATGGATTCAAAGTGGTGCCATTTCGCACCACTATGAAACCATGGTTGAAACCATAACGTTTGTTGGTTATTTACGTTGGGGAGTCGCCTCATTCTCGGGTTTCTTGGCTGGTGCGTTGCATGGATTTCGATATCAACCGTCCACAGCACTCGCCCGGATCCCGGACTGTCAGGATCCCCAGACCGATGAGAGGCGCGCTCGGCTTCGGTTCTTGGGGTCCGAAGGAGTTCCAACGAGCCTGATGTGGGGGAATGGGAACCCCGGATCTAAGTACCTGGAGTCTCCATGACCCTTTAAAAATGGTTGGTTATTACCCTAAATAATGGGGTCGTGGATCAATTTTTAAAGGGTCATGGAGAGTCTAAGTAGAACTTTTGGTTGATCAATATCGGGGTGTCCCCCTTTTGGTGGGAGTTCAGACCACTTTTGTGGGTGACATCCCTGACTGCCCCTGTTGATAGGCCGGTTTTATGAACACGGGGTCAACATTATATCCTAACATTGTCCTTTGAAAACTACCTTGGTTGAACATCCTCAATTTGGTTTTGCGGCTTGAGGCTATCGATTTGCTAGTCAACGGAAGCGATTTAACATGTGGAAGGGGTCTGAGTCTTAGATAATTGTTCTTGAGGTGATGCGGATGATGGCGGCAGTCCTGAGGATGACAGTGACAGCTATGAGCGCCATGGAGGAGTACACAGGGCTCCTTAAAAGATACATTTTGCCTATTTGAAACATGGCTTTTTCCACCAAAATGAAGGGAACCCACCATTTACAAGGCAATGTTCAGGTCATACAATACTTGGGTTTGTCTCAAAAATGGGCAGCCGCCCTCAAAATTGGGTGGTTTTGTTCATGGTTCCCTCTAAGACACCCACTTATCGTCTTCCTTGTCAACCATTTGGTCTGCAGGGCGCGCTGCAGCGGATCAGCTCCTTCAGCTCTTTGATCTGCTACATCCTGTGGTGCATCTTGGGCGGCCTACAAGCTATGGCGATGCCTGAGACAGATAAGCTCAGGTAGTTGCTCCTCATGCTGTCCATACTTGGAAATGCGGTGATGAATCCTCTTCACGTTCTCTACAGGACACACCCCGACCAGCTGACCGAGGCCCTGGCCACTCTCTGACTGGGGATGAAACCGGACAATCCCACTTGGCCATGCCAAGTTCCCAGCGTCATGGTTCACACTTCTGTGCATCTTTTCTTGGATCCTTGCTCAGGAATCTATTCGGAGGTCCCGCACCTGGAAAATGTAAGAGGGCTTAAGGTACATGGGGGAGACTTGCAACCAGGGCTACGTTCAGTAGCACATCGATTGCCTCCTCAAGTGGTTTGGGCTCACTGTTTTATCCCACAAACCTCATGAAGCCCTTCGGGCATGTGTAGGAGGGTTATTCCGATTTTCCACTTGGTTGAACATCAAGGGCCTGAACGTCTCGGCTTTGCTTCTATTTCGCTCTGCTGAAGATCCCTTACATCACCTCAATGTCGCCCCTGGTTAATAGCCCTTCAGATGCCTATCAGCAGGGATCCCCTGGAACAAAGGAATCCCCAAAAAAACTCACTAAAAAGCCACCTGACCCCCTCACTAATAACTGTTTTCACTTCAGCCACAATCAACACCAGGGTAAACTACTGTTAGCAAGGGGCAGTCCCAACCATGAATAGGAGCGGCCGCCTTTTGGGTATGCCATGAGAGTACCAATTCCCTCATTCCCTTAAACTTCCTTCTATTCACCTTTGAGGCAATTTGGTGGTTGGAAGATGTATTCTCCTTTACTCGTCCTGGGCCATCCTGCGCACGATGTGGTACTTTCAATTAAGTACTTAGCCCCAGCTTAGTTCCCTCCTAGTGGGATTTTTCTTATACATGCCAGTGCGCTCACGAAGTGGTGATTGTTCCCAGCAAAAAACCCATTCAGTGTGACAACAACCTCAGTTGTCCAAAGCGAACCGATTTTGTTTTCACCTTTTGGTCTTCCCTTTTTGGGCTCCCATTTTTGGTGGCCCCAAAAAGTGATCACCCTTCATTCTGGGTCCCGTTCTCACTTCCGCATTCCTGGACCTGATTTTTTTTTGGGGGGGGAAGACTATTTTCGCGGCAACTACAAAGTTTGGACTTCTTTTTGGGCCCATCCACTCCTAGGTCCCCCAGTCCAGTAGTGCCCTTTTACCCTTTTTTGGGGAGTCAAACCTCTCTACAGAGTCTCCATGACCCTTTACAAGTGGGGTCATTGCCCTGAATAATGGGGTCGTGGACCGATGTTTGATTCGGGTCATGGAGACAGGTAGACTCAGGAAGTGAGCTTTGCCGGGCCACCGAGTTCCCCACAGGCCACGTACCTCATCGGCCTGGTTCCTCCAGGCCGATCTCGGGCACGGGTGTTGAACCTGGAAACGGGCGGGACTTTTCCCGCAAAAAAAAAAAAACAAAACGGGGCCTCCCTCACTCCCGTTTTGCTCCGTGCGGACGGTAGTCACTTGTTGGAGGGTGGGTCATTTGGTAAATAGAAAGCTCGGACTTTTGTTTGGCCGATCTTGGGAAGTGAGGGGCTTTGCGTGTGTGTGTGTGTGCGCGTGTGTGTGTTTTGAGGGTCTTGAAATGTTCCCAGTGAGTCATGAAACCTGCATCAACTTTGGAAGGCTACCCTTGTCACCTTGGCGACAGAAACCAAAAGGAAAACACACATTTTCCGGGGTCGCCTGTTCTGGGGATTTTGGCTTTGTGTCAAAATCAGGCAAACTACTCTGCTCTGTTTCGCACATGCACGCCTTATTTGCTTTGTGTTTGAAGGGCACCAAAAGCGCAGAACTGATTTGAGGCCTTCACCAAAATGATGCTAGAACAGTTCGTAACCGTGCAGTGAAACAGGTCGATCAATCCCAACCGGTTCGTCTCGGCATTGAATATCCCCATCTTTAGGGGGAGTTCAACGTCTGGAGATCTCCATTTCTGGTAACCCGTGTTTCCCTTTATGGGGAAGAGTAGATAAACGGAATTGGGACCCCCCACCCCCTAAGTACAGTTTGGTGGGGGGGAGCATGGGATTGCAAGCAGCGATAACTCTCCGGCTGTGACTTTGGCTTAAGGCAATCTTGGCAGTGGCACGCTTTGCGTTCTGATGGACTGTACTGTTGCTGGCAAGAATTTAGTTGTTGTATTTGTTTCGTATTTTCGGTTCTGTTTATGTTTAGTAGGGGGCTGCAAGAAACAAAGTCTGATACCATACCAAGGGCTGGAAGTTGAATCTCCAGGGCATCCATGCAAGCATGTCTGTTTGAGGTTGGACCCCCCGAAAATGGTCGGTTTGGCCTTTGGTTTCCCTTCAAACCCGACCAACAACTGGCACCCTCAAAACAAGACAGACACATGCAGTCTCAGATCTCAAATGGTAAGTCACAGCAAATGGTTGGAGTTGCCCTTGTTCCCCCTACTTGCAATACGGCAATTGCATCCACAGCCTGCAAGGGTGTCTTTCTGAGAAATTGGGGTCTTCACCGCAACATTGGTGTCATGAAGTTGGGACTGCGAGGTAGTCGGGCAGGGGGGCATTTTTGCTTTGGTTATTTTGGTTTCAACAGACCTCACATGAGCAAGGGTCAAACATAGCTGTCATCTATTGCAAAAGGGGTAGCATGGGCCACGCGAGCCCCAAAATGGATTAGGAAATGGGGTTGCTCGCCAAAATCCAATGAGACAATAAATACTGACTGTGGCGCTCATGGTTGGGGCGGGCTTCCCAAAGACAAACGGAAGCAACCTGATTCCGAGAGCCGCTGGCCATGTTTGCTTTTGGGATTTAATTTTGCAGGTTACCAAATCAACCAAGCCTTTTGGGACATGTTTGTTTTGGTTTTGAGATTGCTTCCTCTTGTTTCTTTGCATTGCTTTGAACAGATCTCCGACCTGAAGGCAGATTCGGTGGCTCGATTCAATTCCTTTCTTGAAGCCGCGAAAGACATTGACCTGGCTTGGCTTTCCAGGTCACATTACTCCGAGTCCGGCCGAGCGGGACAAACCGAGAGCCAGTGGAACCGAGAAGCTGAACCAGAACACCGGGCAAAGCAAGGGAATCAATTTTAGTTCGTATAGGAGGGGTCGGAGCCTCCCTAGGAGGGTTCATGAGCGTCTGGGCGGTTTCTTTCCAAAACATTTTTTGTTTAACAAAAAAACAAAAGAAACAAATCCCCGTTGAGATGCCAAAAGTGGCGATCCGTTTCATGGAACAATTTCTTAGCTCCTTTTGGAGTTCCCAACATACCAGGGACTAGGATTTCGCATGTTGGGTAGCTGTTTTCTTTGCGGTTCAATCAGTACGCGGTTTGTTGTTACTCCCTTCTCTAGTTGACCCCGGACGTGGTGGGTTATTGCCGCAAAATTGTGGTGTGTGAATTCCCTCCTCTTATGGGTAGTTTGAGGTCCAGGAAGCCGTTTTTTTGCAGCCCACTAAAATTTGAAGCCTGAAACAACTGAACAAACCAATGGGCACAATTCGCAGTCTTGCCTGATAGTGTATAGAAGCCCTTGTTAAGGAAGGCTGTTCATTTCAGTGGAAAAGGCAAACCCTGTGACCCAGTTGCTTTTCGAACCCGACATCGCAAACCCTCCTTATTTTTCAGGGAGGCAGCTTTTCTGGTAGTGTAGAGAAACCCTTTTTTCGCCCAGTCTTTGTCGGAACCAAAAAACCCAGCAGCCCACCCCTCCCCCCCTGGTAGTGTGGAAGCCCTTTTGTAAGGAAGGCTGTGCGGGAAAAGCCGTGGCCCAGCTGCTTTTCGAAGCATCCACCTCTCGCAGGATCCCATGTCGGAGCCCCCGGGCTTCCCAGCCTTCCGCCGAGAGGTGGAGGCGGGGGGGCGGCTGGTTGGGTTGGAGTTCCGGTGATGAAGCTAGGTCCCCAAGCGATCGGTGCCCGTGTTCACCCCTTTTTTTGGTTGGGAGGGTTCCCCGCAAAAAGAGTAGTTACCCTTAACCTCTCTACTGGAGGAGCTAGAAAGAGCCACTTTGTAGGGGGTTGGTTGGTTGCCATTTTAGTGGAGGTAAAGAATTGCAGGCTTCTTTGGGCCACTCCACTCAGGACGCCAAAGGGGGTCCGAAAGCGTAGAATGTAAAGTAGGCGATCCTCCTGTTTCAGGCTAGACCAAATAGGGGTGTCTTGTGTTGAGGGATTTGTATATCATCCGATTAAACCCTGACACTGACAGCTATGAATAAATGCTGCCTGGGAGTAGAAGGGACCAGTTGCCCCATGGGTGAGGCGTTGCATTCTGGAGCCAAGGCTTGCAGAGCAAACCATGGTGGGTTGACTCCACCCTGGTCCGTCTTCTTTATGAGGCTTGACGGGCTGCTTGGAATCTTGGAAGAATCTTGTGATACAATCCCAAATACACGTTTCGCAACCAAATACCAGCCTGAACAAATCCAGACATCCCCGTCCAACGAAACCAACTAGAATCTGACTGACGATTCGTTTGGCTCATGCTTGCAGCAGCATGAAACAACTTGATTGCTTTCAGCGAGAGCAATGTGTGCGCTTTCTTCCACAACTTACCTGCCGAATTTTCGCAATCTTTCAGCCTTGGGTTGGTGCCTGGAGTCTGGCATGATCCTTGAAAAATGGACCAGACTATTTTCGCGTTTATTTTGGGTATTGACCCCACGTTTTGAGGGTCATAGAGACTCCAGGTACGGTCAGCAGCTGAGAGGTAATTACAGAAGCTTACGGGTGGCATGGCGAAAAGGGCGGGGAGGGAATACCACACTTGCCGCCAACAGAAAATGCATCTCTGGAGGAATTTCCTTTTTCGGAGGAATTTCCTTTTTCAGACTTTGGAGGAAGCATTTCCTGGAGGAATTTCCTTTTGCAGATTTTAGAGGAAGCATTTATAGCAAGGATCAACTCAAAGGACGGAGCCAATCAGAAAGTCATCCCTCTAGTCAAAAAGGTATACAGTAGTTCCCTTTGATCCTACAAAATCATTTTGTCTCTTTGGTGTTCCGTTGTTCCCAATTTGAGTCCTATCCGACTGACTCACCCAAAAACGCCCAAAAACGCCCACAAACGCCAAAAAACGCCAGGCGCAGCAAAGGAGTGCCACGCAGTGGGTGGTCTTCTCAGGCTTCAATGGGATAGGCGACCGGTCGCTTCGGGTCGCTTCGGGTCGCTTCGGGTCGCTTCGGGTCGCTTCGGGTCGCTTCGGGTCGCTTCGGGTCGCTTCGGGTCGGTTCGGGGGGTTCGGGGGGTTCGGGGCTCCGGAGAAGCGTCAAAAGACTCGGCTGTCGGGTCGAGGGGTTCGGGGGCTCGGGTTTGGTCATCCTGCTGGATTCTGAATGACCATAAGGATTGCCCCACTTGAACTATATGGCCATAGGAGTTGGGACCATGGCTTATTTGGGGGACAAGTGTCTGGATACTTTAGGTCAATCTTTCTGTGGACAAACAGTTTTGGACGGGGCCCAGTATTCCGAAATTATTCCACACAATCCATCTCAAGTCATCTCAATATGCATACATGTGTACATATATACATATAGAGATATTCATATTATAGATGCAAATTTCAGCACCATTTGGAGGGTACATGTGAGTACATGAATGATGTGGTTGCCAGAATGCTAACATGAATGACATCTGGGGCAAATGCCCAAGGCCAAAGACCGGGTGGAAAGTTTTCTGATGGAAAGTCCTGCCTTAAAGTATGCAGTTGGCAGATTTCTCACTACATGCGTAGCCCATTTTACATCCCCGTTCAATACCACGTGCAATGCGTTGTTTTTTTTTTTTTTTAAGTAGGGGTCATCCTCGAGAGTGGTTGGAGAAGAATCCCCATGTTGATGATGCCCACCGTGCCCCATTCAAGATAACCCAGAGGGTCCAAGTACCTTCTCAGGAGGTACTTAGACCCCTTTTTCCCCCAGAAGCCATCCTCATGAGGTACTAGGTAAGATGGGCGTGCCTTTTGTGAAGGGAACCCTTTTGGGGCTGAGGACCACGAGGAATCTCCAAATATTTTGGAGTTCCCTCCTCAGACAAACCCATAGTTGGGTCAAAGCCAAACAGCCAGGGGGCGGAGGTTTTAGTCCCTGTTTCCACTTACCGAGGATAGCTCGCTTTCTTTTTTGACAGCCACAGTTATATGCTTACCCTCGGCTTAAAATGTGTATAGCAGGGAATGTACGACATACAAGGGGATAGAATCCGAATGCGTGATACAATTACTGGGTTGTTGTTTCAAGGGAACCCCGCCAAACAAGGGGTTCCCCTATTTTGAGACAAACCCAAATGGAATGGGCCAAAATAAAACGCAATCCAGTAAATCCTGGCGCGTGGAATACAGGGCAGATATGATGGGAGATGAGAGGGAACCCTAGCACCCCTCCATGCCAAAGACCCTTCATCGGTTCAAGGGAATGCCAAGTGGGTCCCAGTTGTTTGGGGTAATACTGTTGATGGACAAAATCCTGCACCACTTGGGATGGATAAAAACCCGTAAATAATAGGATAAACTGATAAACCATATAGCAACTGGTGCAGGGTTTTGTCCATCAACAGTATGGAGGTAAATGGATCCACTAGGAAAGGGAAGATGAGGGCATACCGGTGCTCTGGGCCAGAGGAAGCAGCACCATGTTTCTTGGGTCGCTGTCGGGCGCACTTCTTGGAAGCCTGATAAGCCAGCTTGGCTGGCTGAGGTATGCCATGTTTAGATACGTTTGGGACGAACAAGACAAGTAGATCCATTTTTCGGATCTGACCTTAAATACTGGTGGCATGGATCGCAAACTTCAGTACATAAAAAACAAAGAACATTTAAGCTTTACCGAACCTCCTAACCTCCCAGCCACCAATCCAAACCACCAATTAATGTTGACCCCAGATGAATAAACCAGTGCTATCAATAGGTGTTGCCTCCAAAAGTGATCTGCATCCCCACCAAAAGGAATTGGACCACTCAAAATCACCGGGTTTTTACTGCGGGGTAAGCTGAAAACTTGGCTGAGCTTTTCTTGCTGGTGCGATAGGGCATGACCCAGGGCCTCAAGCAAACCATAGAAGATGCCTGGACCGTACCCAGAGGGTCCAAGTACCTTCTACGCAGGTACTCAGACACCTTTTTACCCCCTAAAAGGCATCCTCATGAGGTACCAAGGGACCCTCTGGGTTGCTCCAGGTGGTTGTTCCATGGCACCATGGCACCTGCCAGCCTTGTTTTCTTTCCGCGCAGGGAACTGGATGCTGGGCGCGGCCAGCGGCCTTTTGATCAGCGCCCTGCTGCGCCGCGGCTACGCGGTGCTCGGGGCAAAAGGCGCCAGCGGAGGGCTGTGCCACTGGATGCGCAGCCCGCTCTGCGACTGGGAGGCGCGCGCCTCGCCCGGCGCCCGGCGCCGCTTTTGGCTCGCCGAGTTTCGAGCCGGCGATTGGCCCAGAGAAGCGAAGGAATGGGTGTCCGACTGGTTGAGATCGAATCCATGTTTCTCGCGCCAGGGGAAATGAAGCCAGAATGAAACCGTGACGGTTTGTTACGTTCCGAATGGTGGTACCAAGGCGGAAGAAAGGAATCGCCGTCCTTTGAAGGGTCCCTTGTTGTCCTGTTTTTACGGGTAAATGGAATCAATGGGCAATGATTCAGAGCCAACTCGCCAGCCAAGAATGACTATGGGGGCCAAGGGACCTTTGCTTGGCTTCCTTACGGCTCATGAGCTGTTTTTTGAAGGGGAAGGCGAAGTGTCATGGATACCAATCAGGTTTGCTTTGGGTTGTTTTCCCGGGCTGAGGAACTAGGGGTTCTGATTTTTGCTGGGCCCAGCGGTCTGCGGTGCAGAGGCATGACGTGTGGGGAAAAGGAAGACAACAGAAAGATGTGCGAGTTCCTAATTTTGGGATGGACATGGACAAACGAGGACACTCAGGGTGCTGAAAAGAAGGAGGACAAGGGGAGATTGGTAGTAGACGCCCCTGCTTTCAGAAAGGAACGCAATAGATTCCGAATGCAAACCAGGGTTCTGGGAAAACCGAAAGTGATCCGATGGATCTTCACAAAATGGTCAACTGAATCTCTTAAAAGCCATAAACTGAAGATTCAGCGAGTTGAGCAGTGCCCATGGCATAACCGGACGTCAATAGATTTTGAATAAGTGCTGCGCACGTGTAGAGTCACGAGCAGTGTAATTTTAGACCTTGCATATGCACCTTTGAAGTATGCCGTTGTAGAAGTCACTTTCTCAGCAACGTCATCACACTCGTGGGTGTGGTTTTCCTCTTCCAGATGTGCACTCAAGACTCTGCGCCGCAACGGGAGGTTCTCATGCCTTTGAACGGTTTGCTCCAGCCCGATACCTTGCCGCAATTCACAGGGTGGCTAGTGGTTTATTCCATCTGCCTGGAGTCTCCATGACCCTTTTAAAATAGGTCCATGACCCCATTCTTTAGGGAATTGATAATTTTGTTTAAGGGTCATGGAGATGCTAGGTACCTATTTCAGTTGTAGAACGACGGAAAACAACCTTTTAGGTCGATAGGAGTTGGGGTTTAAATAGTAGGGGCGGAGTAGAGCAGATGCTGAGGTGATACCGGGGATGCTGGAGATGCATTTGAAGCGTTTTCTCGCGCCATGTGCAGATCATGCAGGGAAAGCTGCTGGCCGGGGATGCCGGGGATGCTGGCTGGTGATGCCATATAGTGGCTGGCCCGTTCAGATCGAGGGTTTGGAGAATGTATCGTGCCCGTATTTGGTTTTTCCTTAGCTTCGGTTGAAATGCTTGGGAGTCACCCGGGCAAAAGAATGCTTTCGTGTGCAAGACTCTGCTTTCATGTGCTGCCAGCCCCCTGCTTTCCGTTTTTTTTTTTTTTTTTTTTTCCTTATATATATATATTTAAAAATATCCGTGCTGGTTTGCAGATCCTACGAAACCAGCAGGAAATTCAACCTTTCTTCTGTATACGAAATTTATGCAGCTGGACGTTGCAAACACGGGTGCAACGGGAAATGGGGTCCCGTGTTTTGTTGAAAACATTTTGGGGTTGGGTTTCAAAAAGAACCAAAAGGAAAACCACCCATTTGGGGGGTCCCCCTATTTTGACACATTTTGTTGTTGCACGCTCCTATTTTTCTGAAAAAGGAAAGTCGGACCCAGCTGATATGGACCTAAGATTCGCTGACTACACTTTGTCGAGGGCAAAGGGGAAACCACCCCATTCATCAAACCACCCTTTTTGAGGGAAGCTGTTTTCCTGAAGGCAATCATGCAACCCTTGATTGGTTCGGAGTCCGGTTTGCATTGGGATTTGAACTCCCTCTTTCTTGTTCAGGCTGAACGGGCTCCACCCCCTAAAAATCACCAAGCCACCAATCCAACGTATCAACTCGGGGGAAGCTGATTTCAGGAGCATTGTTTGGTTGAGGGCCCGTGTTTTCTTGTTCATAAGGAATCACCACATTAGCCATATGCCTGGGGTCCAATCCACCCTGACAAGGGGGTTAATATAACTGTCAGTATTTGAGCAGTTTCATCCAAGTTGGGTCAACCCTTCTTTTGGGGATTGAATTGCAGGGTCCTACAGTAGATGGACGAAATCCAGCACCACTTTGAAATCATGGTTGAAACCATTGTTTGTTTCATTCCAGGGTTTCTTAGGTGGTGCGTTGAATGGATTTCGCAACCATCCACAGGGACACCTTGGGCCGCATTTTGGTTCAGGCGAACCCGCCGTCAGGCGCCCGAGTGGGTCATGGCGAAGGTGCGGCGCCAGCTGGAGCTGTTGAAGGAGCAGCGGAAGCGGAGAAGTGCCAAGGCGGGGGGCCGCCTTTTGGGAACTTGGGCCTGCCTTTGCCGCGGGAAAACCACGAGGAGGGCGGGGGGGGGGGGGAGGAAGGCTGCCCAGTGGCGCCCTTTGGTCCTTTCCTTTTTTGGGGAAGGGTTCCCCAATTAAACTCAACTAACCAAAAAGGATGTCCTTGTTTTCCATGGCTGGGGGGGGGGGGCATTGGGAAAAACGCGCGGGGGGGGGGAGGGGCGGCCGAAACGTTTCCGGGGGAGGGGGGAACAACATGGGCGACGCGAAATCCATGCCACGCACCAGCTAAGAGACCGGAATGATTCGACTCCCCTGCACCATGGTTCAAGTGGTGCAGGATTTTGGTCATCCACAGTAGGTGTCCTGTTTACCCTGGGGTTCAACCCCCTTTAAAACAAAGGGGGTTAGGACTCGACCTTTGTTTTGCTTTGCTCGACCTTTGTTTCTATAGGGGCTTGGTGTAAAGCCTGGTTTAGGCAACAAAGCCATGGCCCTTTGGACTAACACATGGGATAATACGCTGATCAGTTGTGAAGTTGAATGATGGAGTCTTTTTTTCGTGAATTTGCTGGGGGCCAAGCATCCCAGCGTGATATAATCATGATGTTTAGAATTTGTATGATTGACATTGCCTGCTTCTCCCCTGGGGGATGACGCGCGCCAGCTTGAATAAAACTGCAGGATGTAACGTTGGTACACATCGTGTTTTTTTAATGATATGGGTGTCGTAGGGGCCCCATGCTTGGAGGTACGCAGGACTTTCTGAGCTAAAGCGTTTCCTTCGCCGGGAGCGCGATCTGGTGCTCACACGCCATTTCGTTCCGATGGCTGCGATGATTTGGATTGCTGATCGTGCTTGCTAGCTGCGTTGACCGTGCCTTTAATTCATGACAATTGAATCTTTAGAGCTCCTTCTTGCTTTTCATGCCCCATGTAGCCAGAAGGCGTCAGAAGGCCATGTGTGCGTGCGCTGGGTGAGTTCGGAGAGAAGCCTTCAAGTACCACGTTGGCCCACAGAGGTCATGCACGGAGGAAATCGGCAGTCGGTAGCGGCTACGGTGCGCAGCTGCTGTCGGTGCGAGCTGCCGTCGGAAGGAGTTCTTCTTTCAGAGAGGGCCAGCCGCACGGCTTCGAGCAGCGCCAGAGCCTCGTGTGGCGGTGCCGGAGGTTCCCTTGCTGGAGGAAGCAGACCAGGAAGGCGTGAGCCCGAGTGCGGATCCAGCTTTGCCCGCCAGGGACAGGCGCGATCGGTCGAGATCCCCTGGACGTGGTGGTGGAGCATTGGCAGAGTGAAGTGAGGTTACACTTGTAAACCAAAAAAAACGCAGATGCACTTGACTTCATGTGTGTTGCATTGCATTGCCAACCCAACGTGAGCAGATGGGTTTCCCTTGTGTGCCAAAAGCTTGTGAGATCGTGTTTGCACCAGCAACCACGATGCTTGGATGTGTGAGCATGGAGACGCTTTGCAGTGGCCTTTCTTGTGCCCTTACACAGCATGAGCAACTCACGAAACTTGGAGTGACATGAGTTTGGCCCTTGCATAGCTGTGAGGTGTCTTGGAGATGCCATGGACATTGCATGTACATGAGTTTTCCATTTTGGGTCTCGTGCTTGCTTAGCAACCCGGAGACATAATCCTGTGTTACCCATACCGGCTTGGCTCAAGCCCTGAGTGTGAACGCGCAAAATGGATTTTAAGTGAATTCATCAAAGCGGCAGTTCTTGATTTTGATCGCAGTTTTGCAGACGTATTTGCGGATCGGGTTGGTATATATCTTGAGATACTTGCAGGTGGAGTTTTGGTTTATCTCTTGAGATTGGTGTATTCTGCAGGGCGGAGACCATTTGCTCTTTGGTCTCATCAAGGAAATCTTGGAACCTGTTCAACAATTGGCTGGGCGGCCCGCCTGTGAATTTGCACTTGACTATTCTTCATGAACATGATCATATGAGCCGCGTACTTGAGTGCCATGCCATGCGTGCGTGTGTGCCCAGCCAGCTTGCAGAGCTGCATTGCATAGGAAGCTCGCGCGTGATGAGTGTGTCGCTATACGATCGGGGAATAAGTCGTACTTGCCGAACGCAGTTGGCATGCCAGTGCTCCAAGAATACAGTACCGTGAAACTACCGTGGTTCACCCCAAAACGGATGTGCCCGTCCGGTTTCCGTGGCTCGTCTGCCCAAAATGTACATGCCACTTGAACTCATGAATGAAGCTTTCGAAATCTATATAGAATCGATTTTGCTGCTTGACAAGGGCCTGTAATATATGCCCTTTGCAGTTTGCCCATGATGTGTTTTTCACCGCTCGACCGGATCCGGACCCACAGCAACTTGTCTCCAGTGCTTGGCTCAGCTCACCTAGAGATCTTGGTAGTCAACAGTGCCTTGCAGGGGAAACCCAAGAATGACTCATTGTTTGTTGGATGAAGATGCAATGTGGACACGACGCTACTTCGTTCAACTAGCACACAGGATTCTCTGAAACGCGCACGCAGTGTTGCCTTGATATGTTTGCTGATTCGTCATTGATTGGGCGCACACAAGGTGTCTACAAACATGCTCATCCAACTCGCAAGCTCAGGCTGCTTTGTACGCTAGTGCTTTTGTGCTGGTAGCAGTTGATAGCTTCGCAGGCTATTATCCTCCAAGCTAAAGATAAAAAAACACCTAGATTCTATTCATGGGGAACGGGTTGCAATTGCTCTACCCGCGCAAGGCTGAATGCGGTTGGCAAAAACATATTTGGACCCTTCGGCGGCAGAACTTTCTGCCGAAAGGCCCCGGCGGCAGAAATTTCCGCCGAAAAGCCCAAAAAACGCCGCCCGCGAGAAAAACACGCCGAAACGCAACAAACACTCCGACATGCTGAAACCTGCTTCCGCGAAATTCCGCCGATTTCCCGCCGAGTTCCGCCGATTTCCTGCTGCCTGTTTTGCACAGAACTTGATTTTGAAAAAAACGCTGGCAGGGAAATTAAAAACGCCGCCAACAGCAAAAAGGCGCCTTTTTCCAAAAAGGCAGAAACTTCTGCCGATATGGGTGGTCCAGGTATTTGAGCCAATTCCCGATTGATGCATCCATTTATTGGTGCCAACCTGGGTGACCCTAAAAGCTGCCTCGACGGTATTTTCAACAATGGTTAATAGAACCCCCTTTGTTTAAAAGGGGGTTTGAATGTCAGGGTTTAGGCTAGTTTGGCTTTACATGGATGGGTTCCACTGGTTCAGATTGGCTTTTATACCCTCATTTCCATGCAGGCATTTTTTGTTTTTGTTTTAAAGGTCACCTGACAACCAAAAAGTGTGGTTCGACGTTTTCGGGCCTGTGCAGTCGATCGGAAGTGAGCGTGTGTTAAAATGGGTGTGTGTCAGTGTGTCAAAATAGGGGCGGAGCGGGAATTTCAACGCGGTTTTTTCCCGGTGGTTTCGCCTCTGACAGCCCATGTCATTGGGGATGACCACTGTGTTTGTAACGGACACACGGACACCCCCCCCTCCCCCCACAAAAACGGAAGAAGCAGAATGATTGAAGCTTTGGGTCTGTTTGAACAGAGGTCACAAGATGTCCCTTAATCTTAAACATTGACCGGTGGTGTCCAGTGAAACGATCGCCACGTTTTATGGTTCCGAAAGCCCTGGCAAACAGAGGAGATCACGTAAAACGAAGATTTCTGAACGGATTCTCAAGAATTGTTGTGGAGGCCTTCCCTCTGTGTCTAAGTCTCACTCCCTGAATTCCTGAACTTTGAACGTTTTGGGAGATGATTTTGGTGGCCAATGGAAAGTTCAGACTTTTTTGGGCCAATCCACTCAGGAAGTGAGAAGTGAAGCACCAGAAAAGGAAGGATGTCCCTTAAATGCACCCAGTTTGGCGCACCATCCTAGCTGACATGCATCTGGGGGGGTTGACAAACATGGGTGCTCTGGTTGTTGGCTTTTAAAATGGTTTCTGTAGGGGACTTTCTAACCCCAAGAAGGTCGGTACCTCATATTGGCGGTTTTGGTTCTGGATTTTCGGGCAGTTCTCGATCAATTGTGCATGGACCCGGACCGACTTGCTTCGCTCGATCCTCGTTTTATTGGTGGCCTTGGGCTGTCTTTCACTTTTCGCAGATCTGAGGTCAGTTTCAGGTTATGAGGCCTAAACCTTAGGCAGGTTAGAGCCAAAAAGGTTGTGATTTGGGGCGCCCCCTTTGCGCATTTCTCTGCCCAGCAGCGGGGGTTGCTTCATATATTGGGGTCCCTTTTCAGGCCCCCGTACACGTGCGATGGGCCGGAGCCGAACGGCGGCAAATCGGATCCGACTTCCAGACGGGTTCCCTCGAACTACGTCAAATCAAATGGGATTTTCCTTTCAGAGCGTCGCGTGGTACCTCATGAGGATGGCTTTTGCGGGGGTAAAAAGGGGTCGTTCAGTACCTCCTCGGAAGGTACCAAGAGACTTTTTGGGCCTATAAATAATGGGGTCATGGGGTCCATGACCCATTTTTAAAGGGTCATGGAGACTCCGGGAGGCAGCTTGGGCGGGTATCCGCTTCGGCAAGGCTGCAAAGTACGAGGAGGGGGTGGAGGTGCTGCAGAGTCTCGGCGGGCTGGAACCCAGGTGGTTGGAAACATGAGATGGCCTCCTTAAACGACTATTGTTGACTCCATAAGACTTGGTGGTTCCCAGCCATGCCCTTAGCCTTTTGGCTTTTTAGAGCTTAGTGGTTGGATTTCCGCATTTAACCCGCTAAAAGTTGGACTTTTAGCGGGGGATCTGAGGACAGCCGATAAGAAAGAACCCCAGATTGAAAAAAAGCGGGGGGGGGGGGTGGCGGCCATCCCAAAAGTGGCCTGACTCTCCACTAAACCCAGGGACACCCGCCTAGGGCTGATTCATACGGGGTTAACATTGGATTTATCGTTTATGGCAAACTTGGTACAAGGAGCTCGAGACACTTTTCGTAGGGCAGTCCTCAAGTTTTGGAATTGCATTTGCAGAAGTACGCCAAACTGGTCACACAAAAAGTTAAGGAGGGCGCCCTGGGCTTTTCTTTTGAGGGTACCTGGAGTCTCCATGACCCTTTAAAAATGGTTGGTTATTACCCTAAATAATGGGGTCATGGACCTATTTTTATTTCGGATCATGGAGAGTCTAGGTAGCCCTGGGCAGCTTGGTCAAAGCGTTTGAGCAAGCCAAGGCGGCCCACATGTTTCGAGACAGGGCCTCCATATGGGTGGGTCTGTCCAAAATGGAACCCTGGTAAATAGAAAGGTAGACTAAAACCTGGGTAACCCCAGCAGATGAATTTTGAGCCACACCCATATTGTCAAAGCTGGCCCTTTGCCATCCCGCAAAAAAAAACAACGGGCGGCAGCGAGAATCGCGGCTCTGAAATGGCTGTGAACTAATGCTAAAATCGGATTTAGCGAGGATCGTACGAATTTGAGGTGTGGCAAGCGGGGGTTCTTCCAGTTGGGGTCTGGAACGATTAATCCGAAGCTACCCTTCATGGAAAAACACCTCAGTCGGTGGACATGAATCACCCAATTCATTTGAAACCGGAAAACGGACCCCTCAAAGGATACTCTTGAAGTCTTCGGCGAGGTTGCGAATCAGATACTTGGATCTTCAAGCATCATCAGGTGGGTTCTGAGCACGGTTATAAGGCGACCAACCTCAGTTGCCCAAGTTATAACCATAGTTCCCTGCTTACCTGGCGTTGGTTGGACATCCAAATAGATACCAAACATGGTTTCAATAGATAGATGTCGTATTTCAACTACGTGGGCCCTTCGCCCAGGTTTGTTAATCTCCCCACCCGCTGTCACGGTCCACATTGCGCGCCAAGGATCCTCTGGAAGGGCTGCAAGTTTGAACGCCTCCTTTGTGGCCAGGCCTTGTCTCCCGAGGGTAGGGCGGGGGGGCCTGGTTTTGAGGACTCTTGGAGAGGGTGCACCTTGTAATGGGTCTATTTACCTGGGGTCCGCATAATTTTTAGCACACTCATATTTGTGCCAGGGTTATTTTCTTGAACCTACTTCTATAGGCCTGTGAGAATGGTCAATTCACAAAACCCCGGACGCTTCCGGCGTACCTCAAGGGGGAACATGGTTCAAATGAGTATGACTTTCAATTATGGACCTCAAAGAGTGGACGTCAGACTTGCGCCACTTTTTAGTTTTCAACTCTGAATTTCATAGCCCAATTGTTGGTTCAACAAGGCGCATAGGAGGGCCGTGCAAAAACCCATGTATTCGGTTGAGCATTCCGAGTTTCCGGGCCAACGTTGCATGAGCTTCCCGTTGTATGCAGACGCGGAAGGGCGGCGGAAGAGATGCCGAAGGGCCAGGGCTAGTGACATGTATGATAGTATGTATGATTATGTTATGTATGTAATGTGATGTATTGAAACAGTGGACCTGCTTTTAAAAACGGACAGGAAGCTAAATCAAAGGGAAGCCAGCCAGCTTCAGGCGGTGTTTTGTAGGAAACACAATCTAGAGTTGAGGTGCAGCAATAGTCATGTTGCTGCATGTTATGATGCAATGGCGCATTTCGCGGATCAGTTTGTTGCGCGAACATGCTGTCGGAGTAGGAACCTTGTGACTTGTGCAGGAAGCCCTTATCGTCTCACCATTTTACATTGAAGCGGCGGAGAAGTCAGCATGGATGGCTTGACCCTCAGGTGTTGCGACCACAAGCATCACAGGGGTTTTCTTCTGGTTTGAGGAAAGCGAGGAGCTGGCCTGGCGTTTTACGCCACGTCCGGATGCGGATGCGCACACACAGCAGCAGGGCAGACAGTGATGTGGACGCGCAGGGGGCACGAGCCCGCGCAGATGCCAGCTTCACAGGCCAAATCTTGAAAAACTCCGGCCAAGGAAGCGGCTTGTGTGCATGGAAGTAGCGGACACCTTGAGGTGCAAAAGCTTTCCTGGTGCTGCCTCAGGTTTTTGGGTTCGGACCATTGCAGTGGCAAGCAACAAGTTTAGACTTCTTCTGGCCAATCCACTCAAGTGAGTCCATTTGTCGCTTTCGGCGCCCTCAAATTGGAAACAAAGCCCAGTGATTCCACGTCCTTGGTTTTGTAGGTAACCAAGGGCTTGCCAGCCTTTGAACACCCAAAGGAACATGGATCCTATTCAGGTAACTTCCATTTGAAATCGGTATCTGTTATTGTCCATTTTAATTAGGTGAATCGAAGCTATCACTGCTGGATGTATGTTCTCATGTTTTCCAGGGGGCAAAAAAGCAACTGGAGGAAAGTGGCAGGCATGCGGCATGGCTCTGATCTTGCGAGTGGTTATATCCTTTCCCCGGTGTTGTAGGTAAAACAACCCAGGCGAAAATGAAGCGAAGGGTTACCTACTATTCGGGATCCACTGGGAGGGCTAACTTGCCCCAAAGGGACATCCACCAAAAAGGGCCTTATATAGAAATGGGATGGGGTCACCCTGTAGAGCCCGTTATATCGGGGCGGCCCTGAGGTAAGGTCCCACGAGGGTTCCACCAGGGTTCCACCAGGGTTCCACGAGGTTCTGCGAGGGAAGAGCACGGCATGCTGCTGGGGATACTGTGGATGGACGAAATCCTGCACCACTTTGAAACCATGGTTGAAACCATTCCAGGGTTTCTTGAGTGGTGCGAAATGGATTTCGTCCACCCACAGTGTCGCCTGAGCTGATTTTTTCTGGTCAGGTCTCTTCGAAGCCCATCCTGCTGCTACTCTCCGGCGCGTGGCTGGGCGAGGTCTTGCTGCAAAATCCTGCCTTCCAGCCACGGACGGAAGTTCGTCCGGAGGTTTTTTGTTCGGAACGGATTCGATCCCCAGAATGGTTTGCAGGGCAGAATGTTTTGCGTTTTTTTGAGTTTCTTTGGGTTCTAAAGGGAATCGATTTCACTGCTGGAGATATGTTCACAGATTTTTTTAAGGGGACCGCCCACGGGACATGGGATTTGCGGCCAGAATGTGACCCCTGGATCGCAGGATGCAGAGCGCCTTCCAGCGCCAGGTGGACGCGGGCCGCGCCCGGGGCCCTGGGAAGGCCCCAGCCTCAAACCCTAAAAGTGGGGAGGGGGAAGGATGGGGGGAGGAGGGGTACCGGCTAAATCATGACAAGTGGTTTCCCTGTTCTTTTTTTTAAAATTGGAATTTTGACGCCTCTTCACCTTGTGACTTGTTTTGGTTTTTGCTAGGCGGTCCCTTCGCCGCCGTGGGACTGTCGCAACTTTTCTCTTCATTTGCTAGTTTCAACAGTGATAGCATGTTGGTCGTGGCAGTTTTGTTATTGCTCGAGGCAGTAGGACCCAGGAACCTTGCCATCGCACGCATGGCGCGTTGCGCGCTCTGCGGTGTGTCCGGACACAACATTCGTGGATGCCGAGTACCAGGAGCATCTGACTATAGAAAGCTTCGTGCAGAGCAGCATGCCCGTCAGGCCGGCATCTATTGTCAACTGCACACTCGCTCAACCCCCCTCATGATAAGAAGCTTGTCCCCATGATAAAGCCAAAATGGTAACGTTCGTTGTCAACTGCACACTCGCTCAACCCTCCCCACAATAAGAAGCCTGTCCCCATGATAAAGCCAACATGGTAACGTTCGTTGTCAACTGCACACTCGCTCAAACCCCCCAAGATAAGAAGCTAGTCCCCATGATAAAGCCAAAATGGTAACGCTCGTTGTCAACTGCACACTTGCTCAACCCCCCCCCATGATAAGAAGCTTGTCCCCATGATAAAGCCAAAATGGTAACGCTCGGTGTCAACTGCACACTCGCTCAACCTCCCCCCCATGATAAGAAGCTTGTCCCCATGGTAAGGCCAAAATGGTAACGTTCGTTGTCAACTGCACACTCGCTCAACCCCCCTTCCATGATAAGAAGCTTGTCCCCATGATAAAGCCAAAATGGTAACGTTCGTTGTCAACTGCGCACTCGCTAAACCCCCCCCCCCCCATGATAAGAAGCTTGTCCCCGTGATACAGCCAAAATGGTAGCGTTCGTTGTCAACTGCACACTCGCTAAACCCCCCCCATGATAAGAAGCTTGTCCCCATGAAAAAAAGCCAAAATGGTAACGTTTGTTGTCAACTGCACACTCGCTCAACCCCCCCTGTGATAAGAAGCTGGTCCCCATCATGAAGCCAAAATGGTAACGTCCGTTGTCAACTGCACACTCGCTCAAACCCCCCAAGATAAGAAGCTAGTCCCCATGATAAAGCCAAAATGTTAACGTTCGTTGTCAACTGCACACTCACTCACCCCCCCCCCATCATAAGAAGCTGGTCCCCATCACAAAGCCAAAATGGTAACGTCCGTTGTCAACTGCACACTCGCTCAACCTTCCCCACAATAAGAAGCTTGTCCCCATGATAAAACCAAAATGGTAGCGTTCGTTGTCAAATGCGCACTCGCTCAACCCCCCCCCCACGATAAGAAGCTTGTCCCCATGATAAGGCCAAAATGGTAACGCTCGTTGTCAACTGCACACTCGCTCAACCCCCGCCCATGATAAGAAGCTTGTCCCCATGATAAAGCCAAAATGGAAACGTTTGTTGTCAACTGCACACTCGCTCAAACCTCCATGATAAGAAGCTTGTCCCCATGATAAAGCCAAAATGGTAACGTTCGTTGTCAACTGCACACTCGCTCAACCCCGCCCCCATGATAAGAAGCTTGTCCCCATGATAAAGCACACTTGCTCAACCTCCCCCGCATGATAAGAGCTTGTCCCCATGATAAAGCCAAAATGGTAACGTTCGTTGTCAACTGCACACTCGCTCAACACCCCCCCATGATAAGAAGCTTGTCCCCATGATAAAGGGATTCACTCAACAGACTGGCAAGGTTTCATGTCGAGACATGTTGCTCTCTACAGATCCTGAAGCGAGGGTACTCTCAGAGATCCATCTCGCCAAGAGATCCCATCAAGCGATCCTATCAAGAGACCCTATCCACGATCCTCAACCAACGGTCCTTCCAGGGAGATCTTGTCCAGGAACTTGCACAAACGTTCGTAGAAGTTTGTTTCAGACATTTGTGCGGAACGTCCTTCCACCGGAGGTGTTCTGACGGCTTCTGTTGGATGAGCAGGTGCAAGGCCTCAAAAGAAACCCTGAGTGCACCAGCTTCGACTACTTTCATGCTGCTCTTGTGTTTTCGTGTCTCACTTTTTGCACACTGCGTTTGAGTCTCTTGCCGGTGTTCTTTTTTGCGGGGGGATGTCAGCAGGCACAAGTACAAGATTGCTCAGTAATTAGCGCACCCAGTGCATCCCAATTCTCACCAACAAATCGAAACCCGGGCATTTTTCCTTTTAGGTTTCAAAGGGTGGCCTTTGCTGGGAAATGGAGCCACTGGGGCAGATACTCTAATGCTCTTGTCTTGCTGGTGCTCAGTAGGGAGTGACCCTTGGGTTTTGGGAATGAACTGGAAGGGGATTCTTTTAGTGCAGGAACCAGCAAACCTTTTGCTTTTCTGACTACCAACCTGTGCATTGGTTATCAGATCCGGGCTAAGGACATCCTGGACGTCTACGGTCCACTCTCGCCGGGCGCTCAGTGAGTTGATGGGCGCAGGAACAGGCTCCGCCTGCGGAAAGCTTCGGCAGAAATCTGCCAGGAACTCGGGAAACCCCGTTTTGGTGGCTTGGGGCCCGGTTTGGATCCGAATTTGAACGGGTTTTGGTTTCTTGCTGGGAGACTCAAATCCTTTGCCGAACCACCGGGCTCCAAACTACCATTTTGGTGGAAGACGGCAAATCGGCGGGCTCCCGGGCTGACGGTTGCCGCAGTAAAACTGTCAGGCTTTCCAGGTTTCCCATGCCAACTCACGTTTTCCTAAGCAAAACCGAGCAGGATTTCCCACTGTAGCCAAAAGGGAGAAAACAACTCGAAAATATTCCTCAATCCTGAATTTTCCCAGCGACTTAACTTGGTGACTTTAGGTTTTTAGTTTTTAGTTGGACAATCTTCTAGCGGGGATCAGAAAACGGACAGCCCAGGTTTGGGCATATGGAACATGGTTATCATAGTCCAGGTTACCCCTAATTGGTGGTTTGGATTGGCGGTCTGGTTCCAGAGGGTAAAGGGAGACCTGCCCTCAACCACCAAATCACCTGGCTCCAATCCACTCAGCAACGAGGGAAGCTGCGCGATTCCGAGCTAGGCGATGGCTCTTCGGGCCCTCGCCCGAGGTCGCCAGGGACCGGCCGAACGAACAGTGGACAGAAAGAAGTCGCCTTCCATTTGCTGAAGCCTTGTTTATTAAAGGAAAACACATCCCCACTTGGTGTTTGGTTTTGAAGGGAATCAATCGATTTCGCTCGATATATGGCTATTTTTCCGGGGGGGCTTAAGCAAATAGAAATGTGTGTGTGTGTGTGTGTGTCTATGTGTTTTTGCAGGGTGCCCCAATCATAATCGTAAGCTTCACGTTACACCAACCGGAAACCAATAATATTTGCTGGTGTGACTCTTTTTGGGGTTGGGTTAAAAGGCAACTGAATGGAACAGCAAATTGCATGATTATCACACAGCCTGAGTTCATGGACTTCAGTCACTTTGGGGTTTTGGACCAATTTAGAGGCTAACCCAAGGGTTTTTTTGGCACATCCACTCAAGAAGTGAATTACCACCACTCCCCATTGCAGGACCTTGACAGCTATGTGGCGAAGCACCTCAGGCGGGCAGCCGCTCGCTCGAAGTCAGGTCGGTTTCAGCGGCCCCCGTGTTTTTTGGCCTCCAAAAGGTGTATAAAGCTGTTAAAGTTGGCATGATTGACATGTTTAATACGAATCCTGGAAGTTGTCTTGCCTGGTCTTTGGCACAGGGGCAATGGTTCATGAGGCTCCTGTGGCAACAGCATGGCGTTGTTGACACCTCTGCAAAGTGATGGCCAACATGCGTGCGATTTAGAAAGCAGCGACGTGTGTCATGCTGCCAAACTGCCAGTTTATGGTCAATTGGATATCCTGCATGACATTTTGTTGCTTGCACGGAAGTGTGTGCCGCAAAAGTAAGGATCTGCATGTAGGCAGACTAAAGCAGGGGTAAACTCCCGGGGGGCATTTGTGCGGCCCCGGCGGTCTTGGGAATAAACTGGGATTCCCTTCAAATGATCCACCAGTTGGATGTTTCATAAGGGTACTGACCACCAGCAAACAGCCTACGGAGAAGGCCTTACGATGCCACGGATTTCACCGGCGTCGTTTCCGACCGCTTTCCTTTGTTGTTTTTTGAGCAAGAGCCCAATGTCGCCTTGCCCCTACTTCGTGGTTTGGTTTGGGGGTTTGGAGGTTGGGGGGCACCTTCCCCATTTGGTGTTAGAAGCACCTCAGGTTCAAAACCCAAACCACCAATCCAACCACCAATTAAGGAGTAGCTGACAGTGCAAGATGTTTCAGGATCAGCAATCCTTGACAGCCTTGGCGTTGGAGAAGGCGGAGTTACGAGAGGCTTGTGAAACTTGTGCCAGGAGGGAGCAACATGGGTCAAAATCCAAATCGAACCCCCAGTGAACATCAACTAATCCCCACTAAAATAGGTTCTAACATGGGTGGTGAATTCACCTACCAGACCTACCAACCAAAATGGGATCCCATTGGTTTTGACAACCACAGCCACATCTGGGTGTGGCTCAAAATTAAACAGAAGGGGTTACGCAGGTTTTGGTCCATGTTTCCACTTGCCAGGGTTCCATTTTGGTACCGGTTTTCTGAGCCACAGCCACATCTCTTTTCAGCCCATGCACCGAAGTTGGCCTCCAAAATGACCCGAGGCTTCACCGAGGTTTCCTTGGAGAATTCTTCTTGCACCCATGACGTGTGGTGGGCAGCATGCCAGGCCCGCCTTTGGCCGAATACGGAGTTTCTCTTCCGGGTCCCTTCAGAACCATAGCACCAACTAGCAAAAACTCAAAAGGTTGGACTTGTTTCGGCCAATCCACTCAGGAAGGAAGAACAAGGGTGCTTTTCCTCATGGACCGCGGTTTGAGACCCAAGTCGAAGACGAGCTGGAAAATGGGTCACTGTGTTCGGCTCGGGTTTCGGGTGAAAGTGAAAGCCTGTTCATTTCCATCTGCCAACCTTCGCCCTGCACGGGCTCAGGTCAGGCAAGGTCTCCATTTGCCTGCAGGGGCGCCAGGGCCCAAGCCGCAAAGTTTTTTTTCAGACGGGGTTGAGCAAGGGGGGCTGGCTCGACGAGCTCGGCAGGGGCCCTGAGAAATGGAAGGACCGAAGGACCTCAAGAAAAAGCCATCCATCCGATTTGGTGTGCGAAAATTCCCAAAGCCTGGGTCATTCCCTACTGAGCAGCAAGTTTAAGGGAGATTGCGGGAGGCCTGGTGTGTGAGTTGGGCTTTAAGGGGCTCAACATGGCTATCTGCTTTGCTCATATCCGGATTTGTTCATGGCTCATTTGGGGGAGGGATACAGCAGGGACGAGCTCTGAATGTCCTAGAAAGCCAGAAGGGCGAAAGTAAAACAATCCCCCGGTACAAAGACAGCCTTCCCACAATTTCCAAAATCCCAGACCATGTAGGCAGGCAATACAAACCAACATGTGACACGATTTGTTTGGGATCCTCAATGTCTTCACAACCTTCCCATGTAGCTTCCGTTTTGTTTTGGGAAGCAACCCGCAAGAGGTGCGCCCAAATGTCTCTAGGCGGCTTACCTAAGCATGCTGTTTCGGGCGGTTTCGGGTTTCGAGGGGTCTGGGCATGCAGTTTTTGAGCACTTGGAAAGGCCAGACAGAGGCTGGCTTGAACTTGATCTTGGTCGGGTCCTGGCGCTTTGCGTCACCCAAACAGCTGCCTCTAGTCTAAAGGCTCCAGCATTCCCGTCACCGAGCCATGTGAAAAACCCCGACGCGGTCTTTGAGGCTGGGGCAATAGCCAAGAGCTACGAGATGGAAAGCGCTGCCGGCGCCCAAGCCGATCACCTTAGACCTCCAGTGGGTAGCTTCCTTTGTTCCTCTTTTTGGACGGGGTGACCCTTCAAAATCAACTGCCCTCCTGTCCACGCACATGGAACTTGACTGAGGGCTCCTGGCAGACGAGTTTTTTTTAAACGCGACCCTCTGGTGGGTTGCATATCAGAGTGTTTTTGTTTTCCCCCTGGCCACTAGGAGTTTGGCTTAAGCTGCTTGGGTTTGCACCACTTTTGTGGCAAAAGAGAAAGTTTGGACTTGTGGAAGTGAGACCAATTAGGGATGGTTGCCCTCAGAACTTCCCCCCCGCCCAACTTCCCTCCCCCCCCAACACTTTCCCAGGGCTGCAACCTACAAACCTCCTTTGGCTTGCGAAACGATCCATGGGCGTGTCTTTTTGTTAAGGGTTGTCCTTTTGGTTTCCTTTAAAACCACAAAACACAAGGTACTCCCTTTGAGCATCAACGTGAACAGGGAATTCATCAACCCTGGTCTCCTGCAACAGGGCTTCTGGATTCGGGGAACATGCCTTACGTCAGGCTCTGCTCAAATCCCGGGGCAAAACATCTTAACCCCTACGTCAGCCAGGAGGTTCTGGGGGAGCACCGTTTTTGGCGGTTTTAAGGGAAACACAAAAGGACAACTACCTTGTTTGGGTACCCTCAAAAAGGGACAGACCCAAACGCGAACAGAACGAACAAAAAATCCCTGGAATCCTCCGCGACCGGAAAGCTGCTTCGAACCACTTCAGAATCCTGCCAGAATCCTCCTGCCTACTGTGGACACACGAAATCCATTTCGCAACACCTAAGAAACCCTGGAATGATGATTTCTCTGTAAATACCAACAAACATTGGTTGCAACTATGATTTCAAGCGGTGCCGGATTTCGTCCCCACAGTATGTTGGCATGGAACTTGACAGAAAGCGTGTTTCAAAGAAATTGTCTTTCTGGTAATCCCCTAGCATCGTAAGAATATGTGTTAACTTGTGGGGATGGTCCCACCCCACACCGAAAGTTGCAGTCCTTTGTGTGCACGTTCTGACTTGGGTTCGATTATCCATGTATCATGTTGTTCTTTGAGTTTCTGGATGATTTTGTTGAATGGTGTCTGGAACCATGGACACTTGGCACTAGAAGGACGCCAATCTTCGTGCAAAAGGTGCGACCACTGGCCAGTTTGGGGCTGAGGCATCGACACGATGATGGTCCGGTCCCAACGCATCCTTCTTCGGGTCATCCAGGGTATGCGGGTTTGTCCCTTTTTTGGAGAGGCCCCCACCCAAACTTGGGGAGGTCCTGTGACCCAGAGGGTCCAAGTACCTCATGAGTCTCAGAACCTCCTTGGTACTTGGACTCTTTGGGTGAGGGTCCTTTGGTTCCCTTTGAAACCACCTCAAAAAAAGGGCACCCTCAAAAAGACGCACCCTGTTGAGGGTTTGCTTAAACATGTCTTCACGGCCGGCGAGTTACTTAGATTCCACTGTTTCACCACAAAGAGGAGGTACACATGTACAATATGTGCTGGTCAAGTTTTGGTAACATCACTCTTGACTAAGACAAAGAAACAAACTGCAATCATTTACATGTAGATATGACATGGCTCGCTCATATCAGGTCATGACAGCAAGTTGTTGGTTTTGATTTGAACATTAACAACAGTTTACCTGGACCCTCAAACTACCCATACAAAAAGGGAATTCACCCCATAATATTTCATTTGTTACGGATAAGTTTGAGTGTCCAGGTAGACTTTTTCTGGCCAATCAACTGAGCCAAAGAGACTATTTGGATAACCGAGTCTCTGGCCAGTTTGTGGGCATCGTTTGGTCAAAAAAGCTGCAGCCAAGGGCTGCTTCTTTTTCCCTCAATCCCCCAGACCACCCGGACCCTGACCAGGCAGTGGGGCAGTTGCTTTCTCGTTTTGTTGGGGGCTTCGAACCAAAGCAACGGGCCCGGCGTTTCCCACCGCGGTCTGGGATCAGGGCCGGAGGATCTTGTCAAGTGAGTTCGCGCATGTCAAGGTTCCTCATGATTCTTCCAAGACTTCCGTGTGGCTCAAAAAAGAAGCGGGGTTGCAAAGGTGTTTGTTTTTGTTCCCATCTACCAAGGTGCCAGTTGAAATGAATATGGGTGTGGCTCAAAAAGGGACATCTGGGGTTGCGCAGGTTTTTGTCGTTGTTCCTATCTACCAAGGTGCATGTGGGGTACCATATTTTGAGCCACAGCCATATTTGCTATTGGAGTCCTTTGTGGTTTTAAAGGGAATCTAACACTGCTGGAAACATGTTCACATTTTCTTCGAGGGGCATATCCGCAAATGGAAGAAGAAGGACGATTTTCCGTAAGGCCCGTTCGGTGATGTTTGTCAATGGCAATTGCAAGCAACCCGTGCATTTGCTACGGACAGCCTTTGGAAGACATCGCTAAAAGCAGGGCAGTAGACCGCGTGCTTCTTGGTAACAGGACAAGCTGTTGGTCTGTACCCTTACTCCAAAAGAGCATATTAAATATGTGGCTACACATTTTAATTGGGGGCCCTTTTGCGGACGTCATTTGCCTGTCGATTGATGTCCACCAGCTTTTTGTTGGGACAATCATAGACAAGTTGCAAACTGGTTGGGCCGAAGACTCCAAGAACCAGCTTCAGGAAATTCTACAGGAAATCCTGGCTTTGGGTGTTTGGTCCATGTCATTTGGAAATTCCTGTAGCTGGTTAAGAATAGATGTTGCGGTTGTGTCATTTCTTGAGGGTCCCTTGCTTGGGGTTGTTTCAAAGGGAACCCCACAACATTAGGGTTCCCTCTTTTAAATCACACCGGTTTTTGGCGCAGCTCAACTGGCTTCAGATTTGCGAGGCCCAGCCTTGGTGGCCCGGTAAGACGGCCGGGCGCCCACGCCAACGATTTGGGGATCCGAGTTTGGAGTTGGCCGTAAAGGTCCCCTCATGTTGGGTGGGGTTTCCTCTTGGTGTCCCTTCAAGCCAACCTGAAAACTGGCCCCCTCAAAATGCAAAAGACATACCTTGAATAAAGCGGGGGGGGGGGGGGACAAAAGGATACAGTTTTGAAGAAATACGTTTTGAGCATGGCTCAAAGTACCGCCTGAGGTACTAAAGGACCCTTGGAGAAGGTATTTGGCACATCTTGCTTTATGTGGGCAAGTACAGGAGATGACCAAACCGAACCTAAATGGGGGTGATGGTAGTTGGTGCAAATCCCCTGTTTGGTATTAAAATAGGAATAGTGCCGTCTAATTTTGACCAAGGTGTAAATATGAACTGGAAATGTACATTTGTTCCTGGGCCGGCAAAAGCAGTGGTCGGAATGACGCAACAAAACACTCAGGTTGCAATGGCCTTTGGATGTGTTTGGATGTAGCGACTGGACGGTCGTTTAGTGGGTGTTTGGGAGATTGAAAGATGTTTGACGTTCAGAGTTTGCAATGCCCCCCAACACTCCGAATTCGTTTTTCGTCCAATTCCCAGCCATGGGGAGCTCAAACGGATGGCCAGGTTTTGGACCCTGCCGGTGCGTGTCGGCGAGAAGGGGGGGATGCCAAAAAGGACGCATTTTTATTGACAAGCCCCCGCTTTTCCTTTGAGACGTTTCTCGCTTTTCCCCGGCTCGGGGCCTCTGCCCAAATAAGCTCCGGGGTGGTCCTCTGAGGTAGGGGAGATGAGAGGAGGGTTCCTTTTGGGGGGGGGCTGGGGAGACTGTGGATGGACGAAATCCTGCACCACCCAAGAAGCCCTGGAATGATGATTCCCCTGCAAATACCAACAAACCTTGTGGTTTCCCATTGTTTCAGTTCGTGGTGCGAAGCGGATGTCGCAACCATCCACAGTAGGAATTCTTGTGAGTCCTGCAAATCAGGGAGAGACAGCCCGTGGCAACCAGTCTTGGGTTGCTTAGGACTTGGGGAGTATTTCAATGCGTCCATCCATAGTATGGCCATGGGTCAAAATCCCGTACCCCCAGTGAACATCCCAATCCCCACTAAAATAGACTAAAATGGGTGGTGCACCTACCCCAAAATGGTACCATTGGTATCACCTGGGCCTTGGAGTTTTGGAGGGACGCCCCCATGGCGTTGAACTGGCGGGCAGCTCGCTTTCACCAGAAAAGCGTGGAAGCCAGTGGACTCCCTTTGCTTTCGCAAACCCCCAAAATAAGGGACGCCCAAATAGGAAATCATACAATATATATATATACATAATATATATATATATATGGTACCATATATATACACATATGTATACAATAATAGTTATATGCCTTTACATATATATATATATATAATGTATATATCTTGTATATATACATATCATGAACTCATCCGGGGACTCCATGCTTGACCTTTTTGCCCATTGCAGGTGGTGCACGTGGCCTCCATGAAAGCGAGCTTTCGCTCCAAGGCGCCTGGCGTCGCCTGGCGGTCGCGGCTTCGCGGCTGGCTTCGTCGGGATGCGGGCGGCGCCTCGCGGCCGGTTTTCGGCTTTTCGGGTTTTCCGGTTTTTCGGTTGGGACGCGGTGAACATAGGGGTCCCCATTTTGGTTGGCTGGTTTCGATGGGGGTTATCCCCCATTTACCAGGGCCATCGATTTTCCCACTTTTGCATGAGAGAAGCCATGATTGCTAGAGGACACGCCAAAAAGGGGGACGCCCTTTTGGGCTCCATGTCAATCTGACGCGGAGTTTGGGAGGTCTGCGGACGCTTGGCACCCGACTCCTTTTTTCTGATTTCAGGGCATGAGACGGACTACGATGAGACAGCTCGGATTTGCGGGGTGTTGCAGGACGAAACCAGGCAGAAAGTCGGAAGAGTCCTCCAGCAACCGCTTCGACGTGATTCAGAAGCCGATTGCCTGAGTTTGTGAAGTACTACAGGGAGGAGGCGCTGTAGGAACGTACCTTGGCTTGGTTGCGCGCTCCACGGCAGAGACCCCCAGACCCCACGATGAGGGGCTTAAGCCTCATGAAAGAAGGCAAGCTTCAACGACTGAATTGGATTCAACATGTGTGCTTTGAACAATGTTGTTATTTGGCCTTTTTTTTTTTTGGGGGGGGGGCAGCTTGGGGAAACTTATGTTAGTCTCCTTTGGATGGCTCCCCCCCCCCGCCACCCAAGTGTTAAGACTTCACCTTCATGTAGGGGCCTAGAAGTGACTTTGGGCAAATGAACCCTAAACTACACCTAGCAACTCAGGATGAAGAACTGGCAGCTATGCGCTGGAAGAGACCAGGAATATTGAGTGTGGTTCACATTTGTGCATATATATATATATCTATATACATGAATGGATATTAGAAGCCTGGTATGTGTATATTGTTTATGCACACACATAAAACTAGAGAAGCACATCTATCGTGTATCTATTCTTGGGGTCTGCTCTATATGTTATATGGGTTGGACTAAATATGAAACAGAACCAGACACTCCTTTTCTGTGTAGCACGGACATTTCAACATCAGGGGCGTGATCTGTACAAATGATTCCTTAGGTCTGATCTGAGGTGTGCACATTTCAGTGCATCTACCGCAGTGAGCGATCTATGTCAGCTCGTTGTGCACATAGGTGCCCTTTTTAGGTTAGTTTAGTTGTTTCAAGGAGACCCCAGGGAAACTACGAACCCTGACAACAAGCAGCAACGCGCCTGTTTCTCCTTGAGCCAAAACAAAATGAGTTCATTCATGATATGGATACGTCAACAGGTATACACATGGCGGCAGCACTCATGATGGTCCGTGAATCTTCAACTCCCCCCTCTGGCGGCATGGGGTAGATTCACAACGAAAGCATACACATTTGATCAAGCATAGCGGGCCACTCCTGAGGCGTAATGACCTTAGTCAAGCCGTTTGCAAGCTGGCACTTGGTATGGCAGTACACAAGGTCAAAGGCGCCCTCCTCCAGCAAGTCATGCAACGAGGCTATGTTGACACGATGCACTCTCGGGGCATGTCGAAGCTTTGCTGAGTAGCCTGCTTGTATGATCTTAATGATGGTTTCGTTGTCCTGTTGACATGTGATCTTGACTGACTTCTCCATGCAGTGTTCCATATACTCTTGAGCATGCAAAGATTCTCCAAACACGCCTGATGCAAGAGCAATGGCCTCCGCTTCGGGAGTACTGCGTGCAGTACTGGACTGCTTCTTAGAGCTCCACAGAATGGGGAATTTGCAATTGCCGGTCTGCATTACATAAAAGATACCTGAAGTGCTTTTGCTGGTGTATGGGCACGAGGCAAAATCGGCGTCGGTATACACATGCAGCTCTGGAGTTGCAGTGTGGTCGACTGATCCGACTAGCACTAGATTGATGGTACTTTTAAGATACGACACTAGTCGCAGCAACTGCCTATCTTCCCATCTAGTCCATTTGGTCACACGAGCTGCAAGTCTTGTAACCGCAAAGCATATGTCTGGTCGAGACAATCGTGCACTCCACAATGCTTTCATGAGAATGCGTGCGGCACAGGAATGAAGTGACCCTTGGGTGGCCAACTCTTCATCCGTCATGCTGCTTTCCACATGGCATGGGGTAGGCACGGATTTGAGTTTCTCTCGTGCGGTTCCAGACAGTTCACAGTACAAGTCAACAACCTGAGATACATATGGCCTCATATCGAACAACATGTTAGTTTGTGCGTTTAGGCTCTGTATACTGTGTGTGCGACCTAGGATACGCAATCCGTGGGCGTCCACGTCTGTCTCTGGTTCGAGGGTAACCTTTCTTCTCAGTGCCGCCCAGAAGGCTGTGTGCAGGCGCCTGGGACCTGATAATGTCAAGTCATCAACGTAAACATTAAGGACAAGCACCTCCTGCGACTCTCCCCACCTAAACGCAAAATTAGAAGGGTAATTATGCATCTCAACCCCTCCAAGGGATACTAATCTCTGCCTGAGATGTTCCTCCCATTTGCGTCCTGCTTGGGGATGCCCATACAAACTCTTCTTAAGGCGCACCGCTACTCGGTGATATCGGCCCTCCCAATTGGGAAGCCATAGTTCCCGAGGTAAGATTACCCAAGTTTCTTCAAACGATGAAGGAATGCCTGGACGGCATCTGCCCCGGAAGTTTTGCATCCGGCTCTACAGCCAAACCACAAACAAAGGTTCAGTGCGACGAGACTCGTCGGTGTCGTGCTGGTCTCATCAAAGAGGATGATTTGATCATTCTGATCCCGAACCGAATATTATCCCCCCTATACACTATTCGACCCTTGTACTTCCAGAGTTCAGGACTGAGTTCGTGATGCTTGATGCCACACAACGTGAGAAGGTCTGCAACCTTCACGCGAATGCCTTGCGATCGAGCACGAGCCTTCAAGACTGACAACTCCGTGGCGGTCTCATCCAACCATGTTTTGTTAGCCCTTAGACCCTCAGCCTCCTTCTTGACTGCGGCTACCCCCCTTTCGTCATTCAACCACACACTGCGGGATAGGGACTTTGTCACCAACCCGTAAGGGCGATCTGACATGTCGGGAATGAAATTGTAGTATGCCTGTGGGTACCAGGCCTCAACTACCAAGTCCGTCATGCTCTTGGGATAGAACGCAGTGGTTTGGGTTACGCTTCCTTCGACTGGTTCATGAGTGTGGCTTTTGTCACACTTGTACTGCTTGAACAATTCAATGAGACGTTGATCATTTGTGGAAACATACCATGGTTTCGAGACAAGGTGTTGTTTGCCCCTCAAACCAAACATGCATCCATTGAATCTCACCCTTCGTAGGTTCATGGATTGCTCAAACTCAATCCATTCTGGCAAATTCCAAAGCCCCGAGCTAGCAGGCCACTCTATGGCTATGCGACCCCCCTGTTGGCTCACATACTCCAATACTTGCATCGCGAGTGCAAGCATGTACCTGGCTGCCTGTTGTTCAGCAGTAAGGCTAGCCTGGTATTGCGAACCATAGAGGTGAACACACATGGCTTGCCATGGTGAGAATTTCGTGCATGGAAGTGACATCCACATGTCGCATCCAGGCAGCATCTGATTGATGACCTGTTGCACATCTTCGGGCTTAGACAAATCTACCAAGGATTTTGACAACCTGATACACTGAACCCCATACTGCTCACACGACACACCTATGTTGGAGTCCTCTGAGCAAGCATACTCAAACAACATTCCTTTGCCAGGCATATCCTCATTGCTTGACAGTCTCCTCCTGCGACACAATGCGAGGGATTGTTCCACGAACGGTCGATCAAGAACAAGGAAATCCTTGGATTTTCCCGGCATGGCTTTCATCTTCCTGATCTCCTCGGGTGGCAGGGTGCCAACGCTCGAGAGATCAAGTTCTTCTCCTTCTGAGCTGCCTACATACTCGGCTCCTTCCGTGTCGTGATAGACACTCTCTTCTTCAGCAGTTGGTGGTGGCAGCGGAACAGGATCCTCTGGAATTGGCGTTCCGGGCATCGGTGTGCCGGGAGCAGGTGACGGTGTCGTTGGCGATGCCTTTCGTGTTGCAGTGGCAATGCGATCGGCCTTAATCAAGGCATCAAATCTGGCTCGACATTTTGGATTATGGGTAGTCCCTTCAAAAGAGCATCCTTTACACCCTGGCGTTGCACCAAACTTAAACACACGCTCTAGTGTGATATATTCAGCACGTTTCCTGATGGGCGTTGATGGCTCAACGGTTGAAAAGGGAATATCCAAGGCTGTCACATCGGCTAATTTGACGTCCCTGAATTCCGTCAATGCTTCTTGTGCAGCTGTGTGCAACGGCAGCACCGGATCACCAGGTGGGACATAGATCTCCTCTGTAGGTACTGCTATGGCATCCCGATAGCCGAGTGATCTCTCTTTCAGCTTATCATACTGGAGCACTAAAGCAACATTCTTATACACAAAACCTTGTTCAAGCCTCCAACCTGCAAAGAGTCCAGGAGCGGTCGATGCCTGAAACTTATGCCTCATGGCTGGGTCATGAATACGGAAGTGTACAAGTTGGCCTAGTAGGAGTTTATGCCCTTCATACGGTTTTCCTGTGGCCTTCTCAAACCTAGTGACCTCATCCTCGGCCTTTGGCACGGTGTTGATGACGAAGGCCGCATAGGCTACTGAGTGTTGCCACAAGTCTTGGATCACATGAAAACCTGCTTGTAGATGACAGGCACGAGTGACCTCTTGGAGTGTGCGGATCTGCCGTTCCAAGCAGCTGTTATGAGGCCACCTGTTCTCCAGGCTTGCCTCAACTGCCCAGCCAATTTGTGCACAGGCTGATGCAATCTCAGGAGCACCGAGGAGCACCATCTGCCTTACACAAGACCATCGGGTTCTTGTGATAAGCAGCACCCACAAATTGCAACAAATTCCTTGCAACACGATCAGCATGTCTCGAGGTGATATATGTACGAATGGCAAGGGAAAACTCATCCATGACAACCTGAACGGCAGC